GCAATTGCCATGTACAAACCCCAGAAATAAGTGGTGAGCAAAGAGAAGAAGTTAACACTTATGTCTCTAAAGAAAAATATAGAACGAAACTGAAACATTTTGTAGACGGTTTCATGAACCTGATCCATATTCTCTTAAAGAAAAATACAGAATGAAACCGAGCAATTTTCCAGAATTTATTAATCCATAGTCTCTAAATATAAATGTAGAAAAATGGTGTTTTTGTATTGTTGGCTAATTGTAGCGGACAGTTTGTCTTGTGGGATGCTTGAGGAAAGTTCAACAATGGTGCTTACCATCGGTTCCCGAGGACATGGAGACAAAGAGATTTAAAGCAGTCTATACAGCATAATCTATCAGTACAATGGCCATGATCTCAAGAGGAGAAAGTTCATGTATTAAAAAGAGAATATTGTCCAGGACCAGCAAATGATGAATGGTGATTCTTTTGAGTTTGGGATAGTTCTGAAAACCTTACGGAAACAGAGGATTTGCTTTAGGCTTTTTTGTTCTTTTTTAGAATTAGAGAAATTTATAGATTGATTCTTAATTGTTCATAATAAGAAACTAACAACCATGTCGCTTTTGTTTTTAGTTATGACTTGATAAGTCAAATAATCTCCCAATAAGCAAACGAAGAAGAAGAACAATATTCACATGTTGTTTTTGGAATAAAAGATATGAGGAATATTCATTAGATGTAGATGTTAGGTTCGGAAAAAATTTCTAAACTAACTCTGCAAAAAAACACAGGCTATGTATGGCAGAATTTATATTCTAGCATGTGTATTCAGGATTTGGTAGTGTTTAAAGCAAATCGTAGAAAGATTATTTTACCAAATAATAGAATACATAGCAGATATTAGAATTCAAATTTTACATTTGTTAAAAATAGAATAAAAGGCAGAACAAACATTCTTGAGAAATTTCAAAAAATGCCACAAGTGCCACTTTATAAAAATGCCACACTTTTGAAATTTTTACAAAAATACCACTTTTTCAAAA